AAGAGCACAGAGGCAGCAGAAAGTTTAACTAGGACTCAGGGATTGGAGAAATGTCTTCTATATGCTTGTCTTAAAAAATAAAGCCACTCATGAAATAGTTGAAGGGTGACACGCTGTGTTTGAAGTGATGCACAAACTCAGCAGCGAGTGTGCGAAGTTCATGGAAAATGACACCAATAGGAGAGAGAAGGGTGGGAGGAAACCTGGGTGATTGTAATCACAAGGGAAAAGTTGAAAAAGTTATAGCAAGGTATTACTGCATGAAACTACCCACAGTCTTCAGAGGATTAATTTCAAAATGCCGGGGGGAAGAGCTGCTGCAAGAGAGCTCAGTTCTGATCAGAAGGGTGCTGTATTTCACCTGTGAGCCGGGCGGCAGAGAGGAGGGAAGGAAGTATTCGGTGTGCAGCGTGGGTTTTATCTTCTGCCCCAAGATATTCGGGACTAGAGGGGCCTTTGATCCCACCTTGCAGTTGCAACAGCATGTAAAAGGTCTGTACGGCCTGTGGCGTCTTCATCTAAATTAGGTTATAAATTGCTCCAGGCTTTTTTGGTTCCCTTCAGTGGAAATGCGAAGGGCGGTGGGGGACAGAGAAATGGAAGGATTTGGGACTGACACAACACGAGTGGTGTTTAGTTCATGCTGTCCCCAAAATATGTGTCTGGCAGGTTTACAGGTAGAGGACGTGGCAGAGAGAGAAAATGTAGACTTTCACAATTAATTTACTTCTTCAGCTCTTAAAGCGAAGGGCACCGTGACAAGCAGGGTGTGGTATTTGGAACAGAGACTTCGTTTGCTGGTCACTGAGACTGGCCACTTTTCCCCTGTGAATGCAGAGGGGCTTTCTTTTCAGAGAGAGAAGTCAGTTCTGGGGGAATTTCATGTCAGCAAGACATAGGGGCCCATAAACCATTACTTGTTAGGTGAGCAAAATGGTTGACTGAATGTGTCTCTAGATTTCATACCGTCAAATTGGACAGGAAAAGTCTACGTGTCTCTTAGAGCTGTATTTTTTTCCAAGCTGTTTGCAGACTTGGAAGACAATGCTGCATCGTTTACCCCGTGTTTATTCCCGGAAGGTTATTATGAAATAGGAGTTGGAAATAAGCTCTTTGGAAAGTGCATAGTTGATTCTAGGAGAGAAACCTGCAGCAAGGTTTGAATTCCACAACAGATGCTGGCACCACTGATACCATAAAATAAGTGGGATCTAGACCATAAGGATGAGAGAGGGTGGTTGATTGCCAAGGATGCCTGTATTTCATTCCTTAGCTGCAATTAATTACAATAATTTTCTGAAACCCTTTTGTAATGGCTTTATCAAAATTCCTACCAAGTCCCAGTACAGAGCACCTTTTCTTATGAATTTAACCTCTGTCTTTTCTCTGTGTGTTCCATGCAAGTAAGCAGCTCTGGTGCTTGCCAGTTTTCATCCCTCTAGTGATTTTGCAAAGTGTAATCACTGTAAAGTGCAGTTGCTTAATATGTAGCTCATTCCCTAACACCCCAAGGATAGGGGCCGTGAGTAATGTGAGTCATTACCAGAGCAATGGTATCTAAAAAGATGAAGAGTCATGCATCAAGTACCAATCCATTTAGTCTTCAATTAAGAATTTAAAAAATCACTAGTCAGATGTGACTGATGTTATCTCCAAGCAAATTAAATAGTTACTCTGGAATGCTGTGCTGCTGCTAATGTTTTTTGGTATTAGAAGTGCTGATCGGTTGCATGTTCCCTACTGTTTGTTTGTCTATCGAGACACTTGTAGACCAGCAGCTTTCCCAGATGCCATCTGCATCTCTCTCTCCTTTCCAGGCACCATGTATTTTAATACCTGAAATTCAGAAATCTTGTCCAGAAAATATGAAGACATGTTCTGGCTTGATCAGCAATGTTAGGATTCAAACTTGTGCTTTTCAGTTATACTTGCTTTTATTCAGCAATCCAGGTTTCAATCATTTTTTGCTTTTCTTTGTACCAAATCATATGAGTTGTGTTCAGTTTTGGGCCCCTCACTACAAGAAGGATGCTGAGGTCCTGGAGCGTGTCCAGAGAAGGGCAACGAAGCTGGTGAGGGGTCTGGAGCACAAGTCTTATGAGGAGCAGCTGAAGGAACTGGGGTTGTTTAGTCTGGAGAAGAGGAGGCTGAGGGGAGACCTTATCGCTCTCTACAACTACCTGAAAGGGGGTTGTGGTGAGGTGGGTGTTGGTCTCTTCTCCCAAGTAACTAGTGATAGGAAGAGCAGAAATGGCCTCAAGATGCTCCAGGGGAGGTTTAGGTTGGATATTGGGAAAAATGTCTTTACTGAGAGAGTGGTCAAGCATTGGAACAGGCTCCCCAAGGAGGTGTTGGAGTATTCTGGAATCACTGGAAATGTTCAAAAAACATGCAGACATGGCACTTTGGGACATGTTTTAGTGGGCATGGTGGTGTTGGGTTGATGGTTGGACTTGATGATCATAGAGGCCTTTTCCTGTGGGAACAAACATGGCAGGCTTCCTGAATTATAATGAAAAAACCCCAAACACCAAAACAAGGCCTGTGCTGGATGTATGTGTAGCTCCCTTGAAGTCAACAGGACTTGACCAGCACTACACTAGTTGGGATCTACTATTAGAGGTATTATAATGTCAGTGAATTATTAGGAATATGAGATAATACACAATAAATGACTACACCAATCTATGACATTGCTCATGGACCACGTTTATAAGGCGTTGTACTATAAAGTCACCTTTAATTTGTGCATCAAAACCTGACCACAGCCTCCTACTGTGAATTGATTGGTCTTAAAATAAGGATTATAACCCACAAACTGTGCTACTGTGTGTTGCCTAGCTAAAAATATTCCAGGAAATGTAACAGAAGACAACAGGTAATCTATAGATTATATTTATAGTGTATCAGTTCTGCAAACTATTTTTTGTCTTTATATCAATTTCTCAAGTTGTCTGAATACATCTTTTTTTATCCTGCACTTTCTGTAACCCTTGACAAGTCCCTGAAACACTGAAAATGCCGTTAGGGCTTTTCCCCTCCTTTTGCACGCTGCGTTGCTTTGCATTGTACTTGTGATTGCTCCCTCTGCCTAGGATCAGTACGACACACAGCGCGTACCTCAGAGAGCCTCTTTAAAATAATATTTTAGTGTTTCGTACTGTTTTGGATAGGAACAGGTAAGATGTTTATGTTGGTAGCCTTTGAGATTTTGGGATGCTGCCACTTTGTTTAGGGATCCCAGAACACACTGGGAGTAGTAGTATGTTCATGAAATTCATTACAGGACCACATTTTGCTAAATGACCACATCCACTTCATAGGAATTCAAATGAAAAGAAGAGGCTATTGATCAAACCTGGCAATGTCAGATGTCAAAGCAGGTGATGCAGTAAGGAAACAAAACTGTTATATTGGATCAGAGGTTTACAGGTCACTGGTCTAGAAAAAACATACATTTCACAGCAGAAATGATCTGTAAGATATTCCATTTGTATCAGTAGCCCCTTTGCACGTAAGTATACAAAATCCTGGGGGCATTATACATTTATTTTCCCTTTTTTCCCCAGTTTGGTTGAGCTGGGAATCCAACACAGAAGCTGCGAGAAGCAAAACAAAAGAATTAAGCCATTCCCTTTCAAAACTTTCTTTCCTGATGACAGTGTCTCTGCTCAGCATTTTGCTCCAGAAGATTTTTTTTATGTTAAGTGATACTAATGATAGGGAGGAATGTGTTTTCCTCAGTGTCAAACTTGCACCCGTTCCTGTTGATGGTGCATAGTTAATAAGGGGTGACGGTCCATCACTCTGAAATGGCACAGCGTTGTCCTGATCAAAGTGTCTAGTTGTGCCAGAATCGATTTAAAGAGTCTTAAACTGATTTGTATCTTTTTTAACTGGAAAAGTTATGCATTGATAAGCTGAAGAGAGACTTTAACGATATTTAATAGATAAAAATCTCCAATAGAGCTTTCTTTGATTTAAGAGTAACTTTTTCTGTTTCGTTTCAGTTCACCTCTAGCAGGTTTGCTAATCCTGTGTATGACTAGATGGGTTTAACACTGATTTATTGTTTTAATAACGGATAGAAATCAAACCGGTGCAACTGCCGCAGTCCAGGCAGTTCTCCTGCAGAGAGGCAAACCCTGTGTGAGTATTTCTTGTCAGAATCATGTTTCTAACGATTTGATTAGGGTAATTCCTCGCCAGTATAAGATTTGTCAGTATAAACCAGTCAGTGAGAAACTTTCCATCAATAGGAGTGTTTATTATCATCTTGCATAAATGGGAGCAGTTTTGCGCATGAATTGGCTATGCTGGTTTACACTTGCTTGCCACGGGTCAGCACGGCTTCGTTACTCGGGCAGCTGCAAGCTGAGCAAATACAACCAACGCTCAATTCCTACAGAACAGTTCACGTTATCAACTGCACTGGAAAAACTAGTTTTAATGTCAAACCTGCCCAAACAATCCTTAAGTTTCCATAACAGGGGTTTCAGCGGTATCGGTTAATAGACTTTAAAATACTGCAGGTTAGTGGGTGAAAAGGGCGCAGTATGGGGTAACCTGGCCTATCGCTGAGTAATGGATCTGGTAACATTGATCTTCCAGAAAATAGCTTTATTTGCCCGCTTTCTGTTCCAAAGTCAAAGGTTATGTACAGGGTTGTCTGAAGGCAATGTGCTGCAGAGTGGTAGCTGGTCCTTCAGCGTCTCGGTGCTGCTGGCACGCTCGCAGCAAGCGTGAAGGGGCTCAGGGACAAGGTCTTCTGGGTGCTGTGGGACATACGTGGTGGTTTGCAGGGACTTGCCTGGTCCACACCTTGGCTGGCAACTCTGACCTGCTGGGGAGGATGAGGCCCCAGCAGATGCCCTGCTTACACCTGGCCTTTTTTGGCTGAAGGTATGTCCCCTCTCTTTGTTTCTTGGGAAGTGTTTGAAATGCTTAGTCAGTCTGCCTGCACCTCGCTGCTCTCGGGTGCTGCTGCTTGCTGGCTTGCTTCAGGCCACCAAATATTTGGGTTCGTCAGGCCGGAGTTTCATGACCTTGTCCACGCAGAGCAGGATGAGAGTCAGAAACCAGAGGCTCCAGCCGAAAAATCCACAGCCGTCGGGCAGCACATGGCTGCTTGCGTGCAGAAGTTCGTGTCTGGTAGCAAAGAAATGAAATGAGCTGATGGGAGACCAAATACCTAACAGATTTTCTTTGCAGGTGAGGCAGTGACTTCCCTGTCTGCCCTCTGGCCTGTCAGTCTGCCTTGGCACCTTTCTCCTAAACCTGGCTCTTAACCTGGGGGATGGCAATGTTGAGTTTCACCTGTACGTCTTCAAGACTTGGTCATCCCTGTCTGGCAAAACACCTGAGCTGCTCCTCTTAGCACTGTGCCCACCATTACGGAAATCTTTTAAAACACCTACTTAGTGTCTGCCCAGTTAGTTTTAGGAATGGAGTATGACAAAAGCAGCTAGTTAAAATTAAAAATAAATGAGGGGTTAGAGAAGGCTTCATGTGAGAGAGTAAGAAGATCTCTAG